GTGGCTCTGGACCTCAGAATTGGAACCACAGCCCTTTCCCAGGCAGAAACCCCAAAAATGGGCTCCTCCCTCCAACCTGTTCTTTTGGGGACCCTTTGCCCTTAGAATTGTCACAGCTGACATAAAACCGGGCAGGCTGTGGGGAGTGCCTCCTAGCATCATGGTCAGCTTTCTTAAGCCAGGTGTGGCCTGCTCAGCTGTCAGGGCAGGGCTGGCCATGCTCCCAGGCCTTGAGGGCAGTGTCTTGGAGTGGGAGGATGGCTGGCTACGAGCCACCGACTTGTCAGCATGGGTGGGGCAAGGGGGAAATGGGTTGGCCTACCTCATTTGGCTCCAGGCAGTGGAGACAATCGAGACCCTTGCTTTGATGGCGTCCACACCACAGGAAGCAAGGATCTTGATGCCAAGCGTGGCATCTCTACCTGAAGAGCTGCTTCTGTTAGACCCAGGGGCCCCAGCCTCTGTTTTAAGGGGGGAGGGTGTCTGCAACAAGAGGCTGGCACACAGCAAAGTGCTGGCATGGCTCTACCTCCCAACCCTATCCCAAAGCCCACTGCCCTCTGCTACTTCCATCTCCACTGTACCCCACATCCCAGACCCTACAGATTGTGTGATTGCTTCATCTGTATCATCCCTCAAGTCCTGTGGACCTGCCTTCTGGGTAGAGCAAAACCCAGGCTCCCACACAGCCATTCTTTGCAGAGAGCACCCTTGCAGTGAGAATGAGTTCCTCACAGGTAGACTCACCCCTCTGAATTGCTGCCGTTGCTAAGCAAGTGGGCTCCATTTGAAGGCCAGTGCCATGTCACTCTGGCTGGCCTGAGTAGTCTCATTTCTCCAGAAGCTGAGCCAGTCTCCTGGTCTAGTTCAGGTTGCCAGAACGCTTGGTGTTGCAGAGTGCTGGAACCAGTGGAGAACTCGCCATCTTGCTTGTTTTACATCAGAGGAAAGAGGATCACAGAAGGAAAGTGACTTGCCCAAAGTCACACAGCTAGTTTGTGGCTGAGCTGACACCAGGGTTAGGCTTCTTGATTCCCAGTTCACCATGAAAAGGGTTCTAGCAACAGATTCAAGCTGGAGACTCCTTCAAAATCCTATATCCACATTCTCCAACTATTCATCTCTCCAATCTTCCAGACGAACTATCTGGATGTTGCCCTTAAGCCATTTCTAGCTGTTAACCCTGTCCAGAAAAATGGTTGAGTGACAGCTGAGAAGTGGAAAGGTGAACTGTGGGATATATGGCAGGTGCTCTCTTTCATCCTCCCTGCTGCCCCTTCTTTCTTTTCCTCCTCTGCTCTGCAATGTTATGTCCAGCCTCACTCTCCCTCCCTGGTGCTGTATGCGTTCCCCTTGTTAGATACATTTATGATCACACACCCTTCTTTTAAGTGATTTTTTAAAATTTGATTTGTCAATAAACGAATCAAACTGGAGCTGATGTCCAGTTCTTTGTTTAGCTTCAGTCTCAGTTACGGGGAATGAGGAATGTGGGGCAGTCATGAGGCATGGCTGCTGTATGTTTCCCAGATACACTTGCAGATTTGAAGGCCTGGACAGCACCTTTTCCAGATTATCTGGCCCAGGCTCTTACTATACAGATCAGGAGACCAGGGCCCAGAGTGTGATATGCTTAAGGCTCCATAGCTGGTTCATGGCAGGGCTGGAAGGTAACTCCTACCTTTGGGCTTCTAAGCTGGTATCCTTGGCAGTTCATGTCTTAGAAGTGGGCAGGGTGGGAATGAGAATGAATGATGAGGCCTGGTGCGGTGGCTCATGTCTATAATCCCAGCACTTTGGGAGGCCGAGGTGGGTGGATCACTTGAGGCCAGGAGTTCAAAACCAGACTAGCCAACATGGTGGAAAACTGTCTACTAAAAATAGAAAAATCAGCTGGGTGTGGTAGCAGGTGCCTGTAATCCCAGACACTGCTTGAACCTGGGAGGTGGAACTTAAGTGAGCTGAAATATCGCCATTGCATTCTAGCCTGGGCGATAAAGGGAGACTCCATCTCAAAAGAAAAAAAGAAAATGAATAAATGAATGCTGAGAGAATGGTGTTAGTGCTGAACCAGCTTGATTGTACTGGAAAAATGATAGACCTAGGTTTGAGTCTATATTTGCTACCTATGAGGGGCTGTTTCCTGAGGCCTCAGTTTCCCTATCTGTAAAATGCAGGGTAACAATTCCTAAGTTATGAGATGGTTTAAGGATTACATGAAATAATCTGTTTGAAGAGGTGAGTATGGCCAGGGATGGAATAGCATTCATCACATGTAGCCAACATTTCTCTTCTTCCTGCCCTGGGAACTCTTACAGTTCTCTCCCCTCAGGCTCAGAGACCTTCTTTATTTTTTTTTTTTATTATTTTTTTGAGATGGAGTCTCACTCTCTCATCCAGACTGGAGTGCAATGGCATGATCTTGGCTCACTGCAACCTCTGCCTCTCAGGTTCAAGCGATTATCCTGTCTCAGCCTCCCCAGTAGCTGGGATTATAGGTACCTACTACTATGCCCAGCTAAGTTTTGTATTTTTAGTAGAGAAGGGGTTTCACCATGTTAGGCTGGTCTTGAACTCCTCACCTCAGGTGATCCACCCACCTTGGCCTCGCAAAGTGCTGGGATTACAGGCGCGAGCCACTGTGCCCAGCCTAGACCTTCTTAACCCTGGCCAAGCTTCGTGATTTTAGGCCTTTGCTTTTTGCTGCCTTTCTCACCTGCCCAGGCTTCTGCTCAGCACTGGCAGGGGTATGGGTGGGGGTGGGAACCATCCTTCCTGAGAACTCCCCAGCTCGAGGGTATACCATTGTTCATTCAGTATTTATGGGACACCTACTATGTGCCAGGCTCTGCCTAGGTGTGGGATGGCTAGCAGGTAACAGGAGTGACACGGTTTCTGCCCCTTTGCAGCCCACAGTCAGGTGAGGGAGACAGACCATCCAACAAACAACTGTAGTCAGGGTGTAAGGGAAACAGTGTGGCCTGGAAGCCCATGGCGCAGGGTCCTGGGGTCTCAGCCCACATGACAGTCAGAGAGGTCTTCCCTGAGCCCCTTCACCAAAACTAATAAATTGCTCTTAGTACAGGTCAGAAATGGAAAGGGTCAGCACTCTAAAGTGGAGGGCTGACTGGAAAGGTGGCTTGGCGAAATCCTGTTACTTTTTACTCTAGATAACTTCAAGCAAGCATCAGATTTTACTCACACTGGCTTCTAAGTCCTCTGACAGGGAGGTTTTTCTTCTTTACTGTTCAACAATCTACCAGGTCTGAGCAGAAGTTTGAAATTCCTTTTGTTTTTGGAGGGATGAATTAAAGAGTTTTGTCCACAGTCAAGCACCGTGGACACTCTAGGCAACCAGTCACTGCCTTTCTGGTTTACACCATCACAGTTTTTCCTTCTCACTGAGGCTCTGGCAGGAGGGCTTCCCCAAGTCTCTAACAGAGAAATTATAAAGTTGCCAGTATCCAGACAATCCCATGACATAGGCAACCAATAAAAATAAAGAATATCCCTATCCCGCGCCCCTGTTAAAACTTACATAAATATCTGGCGAGGTTGGGACCACCTAAGCCTTGCTATACCATGCTTTCCTAGCAACTATTTATTAAGTCCATGTGTTCATGAATAAAAAGGAACACACTTGGAAGACAGAAGCTTTATAACAGGTAAATTGCTACAATAAATCAAAAATCCTACCTGGTTTTGAAAGATTGTCCAAGAATCCCTGAGACATGCCCAAGTTTTAACTTGTTTACTAATTCATCTGGTAACATAAACTTACATATACAGAGTACTTGCTCTGTGTTGGGTACTGTTCTAAGTGCTTTCAAACCCTGTGGGGTATATAAAATTAATATCTCCATTTTACAGATGAAGAAAATGAGGCATGGAGAGGTCAAGTAACTCACTGAAAGTCATGTGCGGCCAGCCACGGAAAGGCTGGATTTGAGCACTGACTCCTGTGCTCACCATCTTTTTGTGTGTGTGTGTGTGTGTGTATGTGTGACAGAGCTTTGCTCTCATCTCCCAGGCTGGAGTGCAATGACACGATCTTGGCTCACTGCAACTTCCACCTCCTGGATTCGAGCAATTCTCAGGCCTCAGCCTCCCGAGTAGCTGGGAATGCAGGCGCATGCCACCATGCCTGGCTAATTTTTGTAGTTTTAATAGAGGTGGGGGTTCACCATGTTGGCCAGGCTGGTCTTGAACTCCTGACTGCAGGTGATCCACCCGCCTCAGCCTCCCAGTGCTGGCTGGGATTACAGGTATGAGCCACTGTGCCTGGCCTCGGTGCTCACCATCTTAATCACTATACTACTGCTTCTCACAGAAGCACATTCATTTGTTTGTTGTTAGAATTAGTCTCCCCTGGCTTAAGCTATGGTCTTTCTACCTGTTATTAATGTACTACATAGTGTCTGCTAAGATGTCTCCATTAAGATACTCCATCCTCAGAAAGATGATTCACAAACTAAAAGGGATTTACCTCTGTTGGGTCTAAGAACTATTCTCTTGGTCCTGATAAGTTTTAACTGAAATGCTGTACTCTTTTTCCAAAGAGTGCCATTTTTCCTCAGCTAATAAGTGGCACTATTTCTTAGGCTTGCACAGTCTTGTGGATGGTGAAAAATGAAGTAGTGGAGATTCCAGGAGCTGAATGTGAAAGACCTCGAAAACCATGTTAAGAAATATGGATTTCACTGGGCAAGGTGGCTCATGCCTGTAATCCCAGCACTTTGGGAGGCTGAGGCAGGCAGATTACAAGGTCAGGAGTTCAAGACCAGCCTGCAACATGGTGAAACTCTGTCTCTACTTAAGATACAAAAATTAGCTGGACGTGGTAATACGCCTGTAATCCCAGCTATTTGGGAGGCTGAGGCAGGAGAATCACTTGAACCCGGGAGGCAGAGGTTGCAGTGAGCCAAGATTGTGCCATTGCACTCCAGCTTGGGTGACAGGGTGAGACTCTATTAAAAAAAAAAAAAAAAAAGAAATATGAATTTCATTCTGAGGCCCACCTGGAGCCCCCAAAGGGCCTTAGGCAGTGAAGTTTATTTACACAGGTCACTAAGGCAACCACAGTCTGAAGAATTGAAGGGAAAAACTGGAGACCACAGAACCAGTTAGGAGGCTTTCATAGAAATCTAGCTAAAAGATTGTTAGTTTGAGCCAGGGTAGATGGAAAGAAACGAATAGAACCGATGGATGTGAATGAGTAGATATGAGGGTTATGGGAGAGGGAAGAATTAAGAATAATGGCTGTTTTTGGTTTGGGCAAAGGGGAGTTCCATTTACAGATACAGAGAACAAGGGCGGGAGAACGGATTTAGGGAGGAAAGACTAACTTCAGGTTTTAGCATGTAGACTTGAAAGTGGAATATTCAGTGTATGAGTCTGAGTTTTAGAAAGGAGGATCCTGGATAGAGATGACATTGACAGCATGTGGACAGTCATTTGTGCCTTTTCGAGTGTGTTAGGACCAAAGAAGGTAGGGCAGAACCCTGATGAAAACCAACACTTAAGAGATGCAGGGCACAGGCAGAGAGGTGGAGGAAAAGCCAGGGATCGCACAGTTGGGAAGTCAGGGCAGAGAGTGCTTCTGGAAGGAGGGCGTGATCAACAGGGGCAAATGTTAGGGAGAGTCTGAGTGGCAGGAGGACTAGGAAGTGTTCACCAGCTTCAGTAACACGGAAGTTCTGAGCCATGGCTGAGGGCAGTTCAGGTGGGGCAACCGAGGCCATAGTTCACCAGTGATTAAGAGGTGTGCAACTGGAGAGTGTAGACATTTGTACTATGATACTCTGCTTTAAAGAGGAGATGAGCTGACACTAGCTGCAGGAGTAGATAGGGCTGAGGATAACTATATCTATATCTGCAACTACTTCCATGCTTCTCTTCTCTTTTAGATTTAAGAGACTTGAGCGCCTAAACTTCAAGAGCTGCTGAAGGGAAGGAGTGAGTAGAAAGGAGAGTGACAGATAAGAAGATGTCTGGAGGAAATTGGATCCAAGACTGGTGGAAGAAGATAGCAGCTTTGACAGGCACAGAGACTCGACCCCCACCGAGACAGAGAGGAGGAAGCAGAGATGGGGAGGAAGGTGAGGTTGCAAGTGTGGTGGTGGGCAGGGTCCTGCCTGGAGTTTGTGTGTTCTCAGTGAGGTCGAAGGTGAGGCTGTCTGCTGCTGACTATGGGCCATGGGGGCAGAACTGGTGGGGCAAAAGATTTAAGGAGTGAACAGAAGGCAGCAGTGGATTCCGGGGAAGATGAGGGGCAGCTGGCAAAGGAAACCATTAAAGAGTTAGAGGATTGAGGATTGCAGGATTGAGGACCAGATGTGGCTGGAGGCCAAGGATTTAGATCCACCTTGAATCCTGCATCATTGGGACTTCTCTGTAGTAATCAGCTGCCAGGGTATGGGCATAGGGAAGGTGAACAGTTGGAGTCTGTTCTTGGGATTCTTAAAGTCTGAGGAGCTTTTGGTACCTGGAGAGGAACACTCACCACCACCTGTGCTTTACTTATTGTTTAATCTGTTCACAAACCTACTGAAGCAAAAATTGTCTAAACATTTAAACACAATTTCTATGATCAGCAAATCAAAATCTATACATTTAACAAGTCAAATTATTTAAACATTGATTAAAAGCAATCAAATCCTCCTAAATATTTCAATTGAGTCACTAGTAAGTCAGTTTCTCTAAAAGCTTCATTTTGGTAAAGCACACATACCATTATAAGGATTCTGAAGTTCATGACACCTACACTTAAATCTATTATAAAAATGGGCTTGTAGACCTGAGAGATAGATGCTATCTCAGCTCAGGCCAATTTTTGAATTTAGATATCTAAAATAAAAATATATCTCAGTGCAGATCAAGTTTCAGATTATTAATCAGTGAACTTCTGGTTGGGACCTGGGAATTGATTCAGCTTCTAAAATGATTAAAATCTGAGCTGGTATTCATCTTGTATGTATCATGGGAAAGTTTCAAGCCCATACGTTTTCCATGCAGTGGTATTGTAGCTGGATGCCTTTTCTGTCCATGATGCCACCTTTAAGTTTAGTGACTATGATACGCAGATGTCCGGAAGATGTCCATGCCTTAATCCCTGGAACCTGTGAATATGTTATGTTACATGGCAAAATGAACTGTGAATATGCAATTCAGGTTGTGGACCTTAAAACAGGGAGATTATCCCTGAATTATCTGGGTGGGCCCAATCTAATCACACGAATCCTTAAACTCAGAACACTTTCTCCGATGAAGTCAGAGAGTTGTGGTAGAAAGCTAGGCCTGAGAGATTCAAAGTGTGAGAAGGACTTAGCTTGCCATTGTTGGCTAGAGAATGGAGAGGCTAGGACCTAAGTCCTACAACCATAAGGAACTGAATTCTAAATGAGTTTGGAAGTGGATTGTTCCCCTCTAGTAAGGAAGGCCGACCTGCTTATACTTTGCTTTTGACCTTGTGAAACCCTGAGCAGAGAATCCAGTCATGTTTGGTTGGACTTCTGATCTACAGAAACTATAAGATAATAAAGAGTTGTTTTAAGCCACCAAGTTTGTAGTAATTTGTGGCTGGATGTGGTAGCTCACACCTATAATCCCAGAATTTTGGCAGGCTGAGGCGGGTGGATCACTTGAGGCCAGGAGTTTGAGACCAGCCTGGACAACATGGCAAAACCCTGTCTTTACTAAAAATACAAAAAATTATCTGGGTGTGGGTAATCCCAGGAGGCCGAGGCATGAGAATTGCTTGAACTTGGAGGCTGAGGTTTCAGTGAGCCGACCTCATGCCACTGCACTCTGGCCTGGTCGACAGAGCATGACTCTGTCTCAAAAAACAACAACAACAAAAAACAACTTCTAGTTGTCTTCCCCAGTAGCCAATCTCCCCTTCTTCTTTATTATACAATTCCCAACTTCTAGCTGGACATGGCTGCCTGAAATAAACACTATAGCTCCTAGCCTCTCTCCCTGGCTTGGTGAGCCCAGGTGCCTAAATTCTACCCAATGAGACAATCAGAAATATTGGGTGCACCTTTCAGAAAGCTTCTTTCAAGGAAAGAGATGTGCTATTTCTTCCTTCCTCCTTCCTGGGGGCTATTAAGCTGACGTAATGGCTGGAGCTCAGGGAGCCATCTTGGGTCATGAGGTGGCAAGCTAAGGATGGTAGAAGAGCGAGACGGGATACTGGGCTTTCAACTGATCAGAAGGCTGCCGTCCATCCCTGGACTCTTATTTGCAGATTCTTTAATGTAAGACAGAAATGATTTCCTATTTTGTTTAAGCTATTGTTATTTTGGGTTTTACTGTTACAGCCAAACCTACTCTTAATCATTTTGCCTAATTAATATCTCATTATAATTAGTGGAGTAATATAGAGGATCCATTTTCCAGGAGCTGAACAATCAAGCCTGAGCAGTGAACAGTTGTCTTTTGGTCATTTGAGTAATTCACTGTCTTATAACACACCATTGAACTGTTTTTTTTTTCTTAGTTGCAAAGTACGCCCAAATAGTCCCATCAGTATCTTTCATTCTTGGGACAGTGCCAGATCTTGGAATTACTCACAGTTTTCTGTACTCACCCCTCCCTATTTATACAGATAAAGAAAAACAAATGTACCTTACAAACAGATAAAATGCGTACTATATTTATGTTCTTCTACTTATCACAACTAATTAAAAATAGCTGATTATGTTCACTCTTCTTCCCTTATTATATTAACTACCTTTTGGCACACTTTATAGTGACCAATGATTTTGAATATCATTATAGACGCATGGATTTAAAACAGTTCACTTTGTTGCAACTAACTATATTATTTTCCTTTCGGTAATCAAATTGTCAAAGCATGTCAAATGGGAGCCTCTTTAGATTTATTCCTTTGCCTTTTCAGCTTTACTTTGTACATTTAAAAAGTATCTTTGAACCATCCTTTTCTTGGGGTTGCGCTCCTGTCCAATGAGCACATAGTGAGGGCAGTACTGCTAATGCCTAAACCACACACTTGCATCAACTAGAACTTTGCTTTACCTTGGTGCAATTTTTGGAAAAAATGAAAACCCGATTAAAAAAAAAAGTATCTTTGCTTTCTGTCATCAACAACATGTTCTGGGCCTGGAGTTATTTAAGGTGTGCAGCTATTCTCCAAGGAACCTGAGGTTTTTTGGTATATATTTTTTAAAATCGTGACTAATATTTGAAGCACAGCTCCAGTTTCTAAGAATGGATATCAGATTATTCCTGATGTTGTTTTAGGATTAGTGACAGTTCAAAAAGTTATTTCCTTTTAAAACCACAAATTCACCTTGGTATTTCCTATTTAACTCAAACATGGTTAAACTTTTAAAATTTTAGTATGCAGTTTAATATTTATTTTTCTCTACAACATACCTACTTGTATCCTGTAACACTCGATCCAAACTTCAATGGTATCTTCTCTTTAGTGATTGTATAGTGTCTCACTGACCACCATTCTCTAGTCGTTTTACAGACAGATTCATCCAGCCTGGGTCAATGGGACAGCGGCATAAGAAAGAGAGAAGGAGGGTTTGGCATACTGGCAGGAGAGCGTCTGAAGGAATGAATCATGGAATCCCAGGTACTAGAAAGCTTAAGAAAAAGAATATGGTAGTACAGATCAGGAGAAAAAGAGATGATGGGGATAGGCTAGAACAGGTACAGTGAAGATAACTTAGTGAGAGAGCTGGGAGGAAGGAGGCGGCAGTCAGAGTGTGGAGTGACTGAAGTTCAAACTTCAAAGGTGGAGCAGTTTCAGGAGGTGGCCAAACCAGAGGATGCATGGTTAATGATGTTTTCCATGGTCCACCTCCAGCTCTGCACACCCACTCTCAGCTCTGCTCACAGCCAGAGCAAACACACACGCCCTAGTCTCAGGTAGGAAGGTAAGGGCCGGAGTCTATCTGGGATTTAACACAGAAGGACAGCCAGGATTGCTGCCTGCTGGCTGCTCTGCTATACATGCAGAATGTGTACCATGTTCAGACTAGGTCATACACCCTCCTTCCTTCCTCACCAGCCATAGACTCCAGGCCCTTCCCACACTTCTGCCTGTAGCAGAGCCTTTCACCCTAGCCCATACGGTGCTGGTTTAGCTTCTGATAGTGCTGGCTGAGATCCGTGATGCTGGCATTCCTCACAGGAAGAAGCCTGCAGGGTACGCTCAGGCTAGTCCATCTGGGCCCCTGTGGGGGCCTGTCAGGATCACCTGTGCCACCTGTCCCAAACAGCATTGAGCAGGAAGCTGGGGTGGGGGAACAGGAGGAGCAGAGGCTGCAAAGTAGTGCAGATCTCCCTTCTTGCCAAACCTTGCCCTGATCCTAGGGCTGCAGGCAGGAACAGATGCAGCAGGTGGCTGGGAGGGTAACTGGGGATGGGTGAGTGGGAAGGCCAGGTCTGGAGATGCCACAGCTCTATTCTTTTCTTAAACTTGGGTGTTTGGCACAGGGTCCCATGCAAGGAGGTGGGATATAGGCAGCCAGAGGGAGTCTCTCTCCTGCTTCTACTGGTTCTGGGGCAAGAGAGGGTAGAAGAAAGTGGTCAGGGGCTGGATTCTTGTCCTTGAAAGGCTTGGGTCCTCAGAGCGGGAAGATGAGGAAGCCAGAGAAGCTTGAGTATTTCCAGCCACCCAGTAGATTCCCCCGACGCAGGCGCAGAGACACTCGGTCCCCGGGGTCCAAGGGCAGTAGCACAGAGCTGGTGGCTGCCTCCCGGGTCACGTCTGGGTCATTGGCAAAGGCTGAGATGACAGGCCACGTGTTCAACATCAGGCTCACCTGGGGAGGGGAGGCCAGTTAGCCTCCATCCCCTAGCTCTCAGCTCAGGACTCCCACCTTCCCAGGGGCTTCCTCTTGGGAAGCTGGGGCTTATGGGCTCTCCCCAGAGGGCTGCGGGGTGGCCAGCATTGGCCTCTGCACATCCTCCACACTCAATGCCAGGCAGGCCCATTTCTCCCCTGGTCCTGGCCTCCAGGACACAGGTCAATGGAGGGTCCACAGGTCAGCTGGGCTCCACTTCTTCCCCCTCCCTCCCCTCCTGAGGCAGGGATGGGGCCCAGTGCTGAGGTCACCTGGACGGTTTGGCGGTTGTACACCTTCACCACATGGAACCGGAAGCTGTAGACACCCCGGACAGGGGCTACGAAGGAGCCCGAGGCCCGGTCAAAACCACCGCCCTCATTCACCAGCACCTGGGGGAAATGCCCGTGGCTCAGCGGTACCATGGGGATGGTGGGGGGGAAGAGGGGCAGGGGTGGTGAGTAATGAACAGAAGGGGTGGCAAGTAGGAGCGAATAGGAGTGAACAGATTCAAAAGAAATGGTGAGAAGGAGAAAGGAGGGGATTACTGGGTGGAGGGAGGGGAAACCATTGGTGGGGTGGAGGGGCAAACGGCCAGTTTAGGGAAAGATGTAGGAAGCTGTTTTCTTAGCCTGAGGGACAGCAGAGTGCGCTTGGGCAGATGCTTCCAGGTCTGTGCAGGGTCCTTCCAGGTCCCCTGGACAGGGGTAGGGGGATTACCTGGTCAAAGTAGATGGCCCCCGTGGTGCCATTGCCGGTTTCCCCTGCTGGCTCATGGTGGTGGCTTCTGACCGCAGCAAATGCCACTCGCCCAGGGGGCGCCTCTCCCAGGGCTGCTCCCCCGGGCCCCCCTGCAGCAGCTCGGCCAGGCTCACAGACCACCAGGCACTCCCCCTCCAGCAGGACGGGCTCTGACCCCTCCTGGGCCCACCCGGCCCCTAGGGCCAGAAGCACCAGAGCCAAGGGCAGCCCTGGACTGTGTAGGGAACCTGGTAGCCAGTGTGGCTTGGCTCCCAACATGGCTGGGTGGCTCTGCAACCCACAAATGCCCCTGTCTTCTGCCCGCTTTCTGTTTCTGCTCCTCTCCCTGGACTCTCACTGCTGGCACCCTGCTCGACTGCCCTCTCTAGGCTGGCTGCACCCTGTCTCCATACCTGGGTCCCGGCTCGGTCCTGCCTCCCACTCTCACTCCTGCTGTCACTGCAGTTCCCTCCTCCTTGGCAGAGCATGCAGTGACAGCAGTTGGGCTTTGGGAGGGAGAGGAAGGATGAAGCCGCCCTCCCGCTGGACTGGAGGGCTGCAGCCAGAGCTTCAGGGCAGCCCTTCTGGACGGGACACCACTGAAGGCTGGACCTGGCGGGGGATGGAGAACATGCGTGTGTGTGCATGTCCAGAGGCAGCCTCTCAACCCCTTCCTCCTACTATTCCTCCTATCTTCAAAATCCTACAAATCAGCCCTTCTCCGTGGCATCATTCCATTTGTTGGAAGAAAGGGGGTACCCCACCCGGGTAACCGCTCCCCCCGCCCCCCAGCCCCGCCGCTTGGGAAGCTTTGGTGGAAAGTGCCACTATGTTTTGGTGGAAAGTGCTTGGGCCTAGAGCACCACCGGGCCGGTCACGCTCCCTCTTTGGTCGGCCACTTCTTCATTCGCGGGAAACAACTTTCGGCGCGTAGTTCCACTTTCGGAGAAATATCTGCGTGGAACGCGCGAGGACCCCGAGGGCCGGGAGACAGACGGGAGGGCTGGGGAGAAGCGCGAGGAGCCTGCCCTGGAGCCGCCTAGGGGGCTGGGCCCAGCTGCCCGTCAGGGCCGCGGGGCGCAGCGGCGGGGTTGGGAGGAGGGCGCGCAGCCGGGCCCCGAGCAGGCCCAGCCCCGGGAGGAGCCGGGCTGACTCCGCCCCAGGCCAGGAAGTGACTCAAGAAACTGTTTGCGTGCGATGTGGACTAGAGAGGTCCCCGTTGGGTGAGGAACCCGGGAAGGCCCGCCCAGATTCGGGTCCCCTGCCCTAGTCCCCTGGGCTGGGGGCGCGGGCGAAGCGGGGGCCCGGCGGGCGCCGAGAGGACCCGAGGCCGGCGCGGGCGGCGGAGGCGGTAGGGGCGCCCCTCTCCCGCGCCCGGGAGCGGGAAGCGGGGTCCGCGGTGCGGAGCGGGCGGGCCCGGACGGGCCCGGGCGGTGGCAGCAGTCCGCGGTGGGCGGGCCCGACCCGGCCCCTGGGCCCTGGGCGGCGCTCGTGGCGTGACGGAGAGGGACAGCGGACGGCTGGGGGAGGGGTGGGAGTGGCTTGAACCTTGGAAATGGCAGATCAGGGGCCCCAAAGGACAGCCTAGTTCAAGCCCCTGCTGAGGATTCGTCTGTAAAAAGCCCCGTTGGACTCCTGGATATTGCAGAGTCTCCCAGGAGACTCCTTCTGGCCTCCAGGCCGAGTTGGAGCCCCCCACCCTTCCTGCTCAGGGCTTTGGTCATCCTTTTCCAAAGCCCAGACGCCCACCCCAGACAGACAGCCTTGTTTACCCGGACTTCCTCTCAGGACACAAGGCCTGTGGGACACATTCCCTCCCTACCTCCAGTGGACCCAGATGCTTGTCACCTCCTGGGGCTGTTTACCAGCGCCTTAACTAGGTGCGACCTGTTGATAGCTGGTGTAGGCCCAGAGACCAGGATTTGGGTTGAGGGTTCAGTGAGGCTTTGGGCCGCCTTCTCCCCTTCCAGGACTGGGGGCAGCAGCCATGCCTACCTGGGAGGCCCTCCCAGTGTCCCCAGACCGCTTTGCGGTGTCTGCGGAGGCTGAGACCAAGGTTCGGGAACAGCAGCCCCATGTGGAGCGCATCTTCAGCGTGGGGGTGAGCGTCCTTCCGAAGGACTGTCCGGACAACCCCCACATCTGGCTGCAGCTGGAGGGCCCCAAGGAAAACGCCAGCAGAGCCAAGGTGAACTCCCTCTCTCCCCCAAGGCTCCCTCCAGGCACCAAGGACGCTTTCCCCCAGAGGCGGGGGAGAGGAACGGCCTGGGCTGTCTTCTGGTAACCTCAGTGCCTCGGAGTTTTGAGGAACTTTCCAACTCTGTATTAGTTTGGAGTTTTGGCTGAATTTCTGCTGTGATGGCGCAGCCTCACAAAAATCATTCTGTACTCTTTGGGAGAGTAGCCATATCTGGCTGAACAAGTTGGCCCCACCAAGGAATGCACTATGGGGTGGGAGGCTGGGCACCATTTCTTCCTTTGGGATTAGGCTGGGGTTCCAGGATGGCTCAATCATGTACCAGTTTTGTGCTGGGAGTCTCAGTTTCCTTATCTTTAAAATGGGAATAACACCATGTGGATACTCCAGGCATCCTGGAGCTCAGGAGAGAGCAAGGAGCCTGGAGAGGTGCAGTTTACTTTTCCTGACCTTCCCTTCCTCCCAAATAGGAGTACCTGAAGGGCCTCTGCAGCCCGGAACTGCAGGATGAAATCCGCTACCCGCCCAAACTGCACTGCATCTTTCTGGGAGCCCAGGGCTTCTTCCTCGACTGCTTGACCTGGAGCACGTCAGCCCATCTGGTGCCCAGGGAGCCCGGTTCACTGATGATCAGTGGCCTGACTGAGGCCTTTGTCATGGCTCAGAGCCGGGTAGAAGAGCTGGTGGAGCGGCTGAGCTGGGACTTCCTGCCAGGACCATCTCCCGGAGCCTCTCAGTGTCCTGGAGTGCTGAGAGACTTCTCTGCCCTGCTGCATTCCCCGGGAGATGCCCATAGAGACGCCTTGCTGCAGTTGCCGCTGGCTGTCCAGGAGGAGCTGCTGAGTCTGGTGCAGGAGGCATCCAGTGGGCAGGGGCCAGGAGCATTGGCTTCTTGGGAGGGGAGGAGCTCAGGCTTGCTGGGCGCTCAGTGCCAAGGAGTGAGAGCTCCCCCTAGTGACGGCAGGGAGTCCCTGGACACTAGATCTGTGGGACCCAGAGAGTCCAGGGGAGCAAGGGGAGACAGTTATGCTGTGGAGAAGGGAGGGAAACAGGGTGGTCCCAGGGAGATGGCTTTTGGGTGGAAGGAGTTGCCTGGAGAAGAGGCCTGGGAGAGAGAAATAGGGCTCAGGCCACAGTCAGTGGGTAGAGGGGCAAGGGAATCAGCACCCCTGAAAGGGAAGACCCTGGGAAAGGAGGAGGCAACTCAGGGAGGAGGAGGGGTCTGTGTCCACCGTGAGCCTCCTAGTGCCCAAGGCTCCTGTCACAGGGCTGCTCAGTCCCGAGGAGCCTCCCTCCTCCAGCGGCTCCACAATGGGAATGCCTCTCCTCCAAGGGTGCCCAGCCCTCCACCTGCGCCGGAACCCCCATGGCACTGTGGAGACCGGGGTGACTGGGGAGATGGGGGGGACAGGGGAGACAAGCAGCAGACCACGGCACGAAGTCGGGGGCCTCACTGGAAACGAGGTGCCCGAGGGGGCAACTTGGTGACTGGCACACAGCGTTTCAAGGAGGCCCTGCAGGACCCTTTCACCCTGTGCCTTGCCAATGTGCCTGGCCAGCCAGACCTCCGCCATATTGTCATTGACGGCAGCAACGTGGCCATGGTGTGAGTACCTGGTGGGGCTAAGGGCCTAGGGGAGGGAGGATGAGATAGGCATTTTTGTCCACCTTGGGGATGTGTACTGAGGGGCTGGCATTGTAACCAGGGTGTCAAGCCCCTCCTCTGGCCGACCCCTTCCCACTGCAGGCATGGCCTCCAGCACTACTTCTCCAGCCGGGGCATTGCCATTGCTGTGCAGTACTTCTGGGACCGTGGCCACCGTGACATAACCGTCTTCGTGCCTCAGTGGCGCTTCAGTAAGGATGCCAAAGTTAGAGGTGAGTTGGGCCTGGTCTTCTGTGTCCTGGGGTAGGCTCTATTTCTACCTGGAGGAGAACCCTATTTTGTTCTTTTTTAATAGAGAGTCACTTCCTGCAAAAGCTGCATTCCCTCAGCCTGCTCTCCCTCACACCCTCACGAGTCATGGATGGCAAGAGGATCTCCTCCTATGATGACAGGTACTTGCTCCTCTCCTGGCCCCAGGCTTGATATTCAAGGAGCCTAGTTGAAGATTGAGGGAGAGGGAAAAGCTCCTGGTGGTTTATGCTGTTTCCAAGCTTTGGTAGTGAGTAAGGGGCTAGTTATTCCTCTGTGTCCCTTATTATTGGTTAGGTAAACCTGCCCAGCAGCTGTGATGAGAAGAACTGTAGACAACCATGTTTGCTCATTTATCATTCATCAAATAAAGTGATACCTCATTTATATAGTGCTTCACTGTCTAGAAAATACTGGTTTAGTGGAAAGATGGGGAAGCTCGTGACATAAATAGCTGACAGATGTCATCTTTCTGAATTTCTCAACATGCAGAGAAACTTCCTTAACATTCTGGAAAAAACACAGTAAAGGTCAAAATAACAAATAAAATGAAGAAACACAACCCATGAATAATAGGACTGTACAAAACATGGTATAATAGAAATATCACTGGATTTAGAATTGGAAGAGCTAAATTTGAGCCTCAGTAGCACTCCTCATAGACTTTGACTGTGGACCCATGTCTTAGTGAATTATTAACCTCTTTGTCTCAGGGTCCTCCTCCATTCATGTACCCTCCTTGTGAATATATGAAAAAGATAAGGTGTGTGTCTGCCTTGCTCAAGGTGTGCTCAGCAAGACTACAGTGACATTCCCTCCTAACTTAGCACATACGTACTCAAGTGTGGCAGCGGGTGTATCTCCAATCTATAGTCATGGAGACAGAGGGTCAGAGTGGTTACCTCTCTTAGCAAAGGGAAATTAGACCTCAAAACTGTCAGATGATATGAATGAAAATACAAGACACACTTCTACCATAGTCTACATAGGTAATGTGAGAAATGAACAGATTTTAGAAAGCCAATTAACCAAGTTAACATATTTACAAGTTTTTTATTCTCTAGGACATTATTCAGATTTTAAAAATTAGTTTCCAAACCATAGTGATTATATACTTTGTCTTTTCAAACATGTACCTTGTATTCCTTAACAAGTAAATGGAATTCTACAAAATGGTTTACTTTCTCCCAATGTTATTCTACTTATGTATAGATGTCACAGATTACCCAAGATATGGAACCTTCTTTCCACACCTGCATTGAAACAGAATTGAAACTGAAGATTGAGTTCATTTTAATGAATGTTAAAGGCATGTGTCTGCCCAGTTGCGTGGGACCTGGTGGGCAGATAACATAATATAAATTGGGAATTCGCCCATCAACAGTGAATAAGCACAGTGGTGCACATCGTAGGCATAGTGAATAAATGTTGCTGAACAACATACTTTGTAATGAGATCATAGTAAAATATATTTAACCAGAAAATACCGTTTGCATGCCATAAGTGTACCATATACATTTGTAAGTCATTTCCTTAATTTGTTTCCCAGACAGAAGCTCAGAGCCTGATATCTGTCACACCTGATCCTGATTCCCAGTTCCCCCTATACCATGCTGTCTTTCAAATACTAACTGCTCACTTAGTACTAGTGCATAGCCTGCAGGAGGTGGGAACACTGGGAACAAGATCTGATTAGTGACTTTAGAGAGCCGTAAGAAACTATAAATCAAACACTACAGGAACTCAGAGAGAAGGGAGCCCCCTTCT